TTTCATGTGGCTGTCCAGTTTTCCCAATAACTGTTGTTGAAGAGATTGTCTTTTTCCCATTGTGTATTCATTCCTCCTTTGTTGAAAATTAATTGACCATCAGTTGAGGGTTTATTGCTGGGTTTTCTGTTCTATTCTGCTGATCAATGTGTCTATTTTTATGCCAGTACCATACTGTTTTAATTACTACAGTTTTGTAATGTAACTTGAAGTCTGAAATTGTGATAACCTCCAGTTTTGCTTTTCTTTTTCAAGATTGCTTGGCTATTTGAGGTCTTTTGTGGTTCCATACAAATTTTAGGGGCCTTGTGCTAGCTCTGTGAAAAATGCTGTTGGTATTTTGATAGGGCTTGCACGAAATCTGTGGATTGCTTTGGGTAATATAGACATTTTAATAATACTTGTTCTTCGAACCCATAAGCATGGAATGTCTTTCCATTTATTGGTGTCTTCTTGAATTTCTTTCATCAGTGTTTTATGGTTTTCAGAGTACAGATCTTTCATGTTTTTAGTTTAGGTTATTCCTAAATATTTTATTGTTTTTGGTGCAACTGTAAATGAGGTTGTTTTCTTAATTTCATTTTCTGGTGCTTCATTATTAGTGTATAGGAATGCAACAGATTTTTGTTTTTTTTTGTTTTTTTGTTTTTTTTTTTAATTTTTTTTCAACGTTTATTTATTTTTGGGACAGAGAGAGACAGAGCATGAACGGGGGAGGGGCAGAGAGAGAGGGAGACACAGAATCGGAAACAGCCTCCAGGCTCCGAGCCATCAGCCCAGAGCCTGACGCGGGGCTCGAACTCACGGACCGCGAGATCGTGACCTGGCTGAAGTCGGACGCTTAACCGACTGCGCCACCCAGGCGCCCCAACAGATTTTTGTATATTGGTTTTGTATCCAGCGAATTTCTTGAATTGACCTATCAGTTCTAGTAGGTGAAGTAGCTTTCTTGTGAGTTTTAAATATATTGTAATTCTCTCTGCCGCAGCAAAGTGCAAAATAGCAGAGTTTTACTTCTTCCTTACCAATTTGGATGCCTTTCATTTCTTTATGTTGTCTAATTTCTTTGGCTAGGACTTGCATTACTATGTTGAATAAAAGGATTGAGAATGGACATCCTTGTCTTGTTCCTGACCTAAGGGGAAAAGCTCTGAGTTTTTCCCGAAGGCCTTTATTATGTTGAGGTATATTCCCTCTAGACCTACTTAGGAGAGGCTTTTTATAATGAATCGATGTTGTACTTTGTCAAATGCCTTTTCTGCATCCATGGAAATGATACTTGTCCTCACTGCTGCAGGAACTGAGGTCCAACAAAACAAAAGGGTTAGGAGATGTGGTGTTGACAGAGTTTGTGGTGGTCTTCTGGGAGGGGAAGGGGGCACACAATGCTAGGAATGAGACAAGCATGACTGGGAAGGGTGGATCCACTGATACAGGGGGTGGGCAAGCTTGGTGCAAGCAAGTTAGGTAAGAGTGTTGGTGCTTATTTCCCACAGGTGGGCATTGTTTATGCTGGGGGGGCAGGAGAAGGAAATGGCACTTGCCAGGTCCTTTGTTCCTAAAGGGGTCTTCCCATGATTTATCTCTCTCCAGGCGGCACTCTGAGATGAACAAATCAGTCTCCCTCCCATCTGCCACCAGCTTTTTTTAAACTGCTGGTTCTGTGCTGTATCTGAATGGGCGGTTTGTTGTGCTCTTTCAGGGCAAGGATTCACCTTCCTCTTGCCCTCTGGGCTCTCCTAGATACAGAGCCCACTGATTTTTAAAACTGTATGCTTTAAGTCTTGATTCTGGATGTAAGAATTCACAAAATTCAGCCCCCTTTCAAAGGCAAATGTTACAGGAATTTGTCTTCACTGTTTGTGGGCTCCCCAGTATGAAAGTCTGTTTTTTGCCTTTCTTCATGCCACTGGTTTTCTCCCCACTGTGGATGGCCATGGTCCATTTCACTCCCAAACCGTGTCTTCACCCTTCTTAACTTTTTTTGATGTGGCATCCCCCCTACTTTTAGTTGTGAGGTTTGTTCTGCAGTCTCTGGATCATTTTCTGGGTTATTTACACTGATGTGAATGTTATCTAGTTGTATCTGTGGGACAAGGTGAGCTTAGGGTCCTTCTACTCTGCCATCTTCCCCCAAGGTTACATGTAGGTAGTCCAGGGAGAGCAAGATTGGAACCTAGGTCTCTGGACACCTACCCAGTGCCCTTTTCCACTCTGTATGCTTTTATTTTCTTCTTCTTAATTTTACTGCATTGGCAGTTCACTTACAATGTGAACAAAGTGGTGCAAACTGATAGCTTTGCTTTATTACTGTTAGGGGATTCCAGATTAAAAAATATTTTAATATTGTTTTCACCTATAATATAAAGAAAGAATTCAGTTGTTCACTACTACATATAAGGCTAGCTGGAGGATTTTGTAAAATATTTCTTATTAAGATGAGGAAGATACCTTCTATTCCCAGTTTTCTGAAAATTGTTTTCATTAAAGGTGTTGAATTTTGTCAAGTATATTTTTTGCATCTTGTTATGCATTTTTGCATATCTAAATATATACCTTTATTTTAAAATGGTATATGACATTAATTGATTTATAAATGTTGAAATAACACTTTATTCCTTCAATAACTTCACTTTCTCATGGTGTATAATCCTTTTTAAATGTTGTATCTATGTTCATGAGAAATAATAGTATGTAGTTTTCTATTCTTTTGTGGTATCTTTGTCTGCCTTTGGCATAAGGTAATGCTAGCCTGAGTTGGGAAATAGTTCTCCTGTTTTCTGTCATGACATAAACAAAAATAATCCTGAAATTGCACAATATGCACTGTATACATGGTATATCTATAATCTAGTGCAGTTTAACTTAATCTCTCTTCTAGTCAATAGTATCTTAACTGGGTTTTTGCTCCCACTCTTATTCTCTTACAGTCTGTACCTCATCATCTCACTCTCTTCTTCAGTACACTCTCATGGCTTGCTATCTTGCTTACAACAATATCCTAATTCTTTATGTGCCCTAGGGCATACCATGGGACTAAGTTTCTGCCCAACTCTCTGACCTGCTTTCAAAATGATCTTTATCTTGCTCATTCCACTTCAGTCATTCTAGTCTTCTTGCCTTTCCTCAAATATGCTAACTGTATTCCTACCTTAACAACTTTATACTCACTATTCTGTTTTTGTTTCGATCAAATTATCTTATCCATTGTTCTCTCACTTCTGTTATGATTCTAATCCATCCTCAGAAAGGATGTACCTGACTCTCCTATTAACATTTTTCTAGTCTGTCCTCTTTATTCTCTATTGTGTTGCCCATTTTAGTTCATAGCACTTACCACCTCCAATATCTTAAGTATTTATTTGCAAATAATTTCCTTCCTCTTTCCTGTATGAAAGTCTGAACTCCATGAAGTTTGGAACTTGGTCTCTCTTGTTAATCACCCTATTTCAAAGTACCTAAATAAATACCAGAGACATTTTTCAATAAATATTTATTGAATACAGGAATGAATTATTATACATTGCAATGATTATTGTAAAAGAAATACAAGGAGCTATGAGAGAAAATGGAGGGAGTTCTTCAGATTAAATACTCAAAGGAATCTCTTGGGTAAGGTGGCATTTAATGTGAAGGAGTTATTCTAGCAAATACTAGAAGGATGACTCTTTCAGACAGAGCTATAGCAAATAAAAATGCCCTCAGGTATGGAAAATCTTGCGGAGCTTGAAAGAATTTGATAAGATCATTGTACTTAGAGCATAAGAAATAAAGGAGAGAGGAATGAAGTGAGGTTAAAAGGGAAAGTATAAAAAAAAATTCAACTTCTTGCAGATCAGTTTAAGAGTGTTATCCTAAGTACTTAAGAAGTCAATGGAAAGATTTTGAAAGTAGACTAAGAAGACTTTCACTTTAGATATTAAGGAATGTGCTGCAAATATAGCATTCAAGGGGCGCCTGAGTGGCTCAGTCAGTTGAGCATCAGACTTTGGCTCAGGTCATGATCTCATTGTTCTTGAGTTCAATCCCTGAGTTGGGCTTTGTGCTAACAGCTCAGAACCTGCAGCCTGCTTTGGATTCTGTGTCTTCCTCTCTCCCTACCTCTTTCCTGCTCATTCTCTATTTCTCTCTCAAAAATAAGTAAGTGTTGAAAAAATTTAAATAACATTCAGGAACTGCATTGATGATCTTGAACCTCTCCCTATTTTCTGTTTACCCCATGACTATTCCTGTCCTTGAAATAGTGAATCTTGACACTGGATAAGGATATGAGTCTAATTTGACAGTCCAATCATTGGTATTATCTGGAAGGTCCATGAAAAAAAAATAAAATCAAACATTTAGCAATGGAGTAGAGACACTGGGGGAGGGTTGTCTGAGAAAGAATAACCGGATAATCAAGAGGAGAATTTTCCAAGCATTATGGAGCCAAGAAAAGTGTTTTTTTTTTTTTAATGCACTTTTTATTTTGGAGTATTTTTAGATTTATAGACATTTTGCTAAGATAGTGCAGAGAATTCCTATATACTCTTCACCCAGTTTCAGTTTCCCCTCATGTTATCATCTTGTATAACCCTAGGACATTTGTCAAGAATAAGAAAGAGACATTACTATCAAAAACAATTCAGACCCTATTCAGATTTCACCACTTTTTCCATTAATGACCTTTTTGTGTTCCAGAATCTAATCTGAGAGACCACGTTCCATTTAGTTCTCATGTTTTCTTAGTCTCCTCTTGTCTGTAATGGTTTCTCAGAATTTCCTTATCGCTCATAATTTTTACATGAGCAACAGATAATATAATCATAGATTATGTAACTTTTTAATCCTTTGATGAAAGAAATTTCTGTAAAATAAAAAGTAGATCCAAGAGAAAAAGACTCCTTATTACTTGGAATCAAGTTTGTAGCCAACATGCTGACAATATCTTTGCTAATGTCACATCTAAGTAGATAGTGTGGCCCTTCTCTACTTAGCCCCCCTCAGTCTGTATTGGGTATTTAATAAATTTTATCTTTACAATAGCAGGAAGCCTTGCAACTGTCCTTGGGAAGACTATGGGCACAGGATAGTGTTTTCTTCAAATCATTACAGTTTTGATATTTATCTTCATACTTGCAAACATTGGCTGAAATAAAAACAAAGAAATTAGTTCATTATAATTTTCCTCTATAGCAGCAACACAAACAATACATTCAATGCAAGTGGGGAGAACACAATTGAAAAAACAAGTTGGCATCATTACACTATGATGTCAAGGGACACATTAATCCACCGCTTCTTTTAAAATTTGACCTTTTTGAAATGTTTCTAAGATGAATTGACCTACTTTTCTTCCTCAGAAAACAAAATAAAATAAATGTAAATGAGTCTCTAAAATTGCACTGTCCAGAATTGTAGCCTTTAGCCATGAGGTTGTTTAAATTTAAACTTAAATTAATTAAAATTAAATAAAATTAAGAAAATACATTTTCAGGTTATCAGTGACACATGTGACATTCCCAGTGCTCCATGACCAATCTGACTAGTGGCTACTTTACAGGACAGTGCAAAGATTGAACATTTCCATCATTGCAAAAAGTTATATTAGACACTGTTGCTCCATCTAGATGCTAGAGCCACTAGTTTTTATTTCAAGAATAATAAACCATTATGAGAAGATGTGGATACAAAAATGGGAGGGAATTTTACTACAATTATCTGACATTTCCACTTTGAAGTCCCTCAGTGGCCACAAACTCAATTAACTCTCAAACTAAATTCATCACTTTACCTGCAAACTTGGCATTCCTTTGGAGTCCCTCCCCAACTCCCAGCTCAACTCCCCCAGTATCAGAGAAATGAAACTTAACTACTAAATAATTCAAACCAGATACTGGGAATCAATATGAACTCATGGCTGTCTACTTTTTATCAGCACTCAACAAATGCAAGTAACAAACAGTAGCCATTCTACTTCTTTCCTGTCATTCATTACTGTCCACTTCTCTTCATTCATTTTATCCTAATGCAGTAAAAACATCCATTTGGCTTTTGAACCCATGTTTTCAACAGTCTCCAAGCTGGCTTGAATCCACTTGTTTCTCCATACTACTGCCAGATCTTGATAAAACACAATTCTGACTTCATCACTCTTCTGTTTAAAAATCTTTCAATTGGTTGCTCATTACTAACAGGATAAATTCCAAACCCATTAACAAATAGTATTCATCAGACGTGTAAGTATTTTATTTAATTGATGTATAGCTTTGATATCATCAATATTCTGAATTGGAGCTATACAATTGAGAATGTATACAGGTTAGTATACTGAGAATGCTACAGTTTAGTCTGGTGAATGCATCTGAAAGGTAAAAATCTCAGATAATGGGTCCATTATACTATTCATAATAATTTAATGACATATCCCAACCAAACAAAAATACCAACTCTTAGTATTTATATTCATAACAACACTGAAAATGAGATATATGACACTAAATGTAGTCCTTTTGCTAAAATATTTTTTAGACTTCTGTGAGTTAATATTGCTATACAAGGATTTGATTGACATTTTAAAAGTGTATAAAAATTACTAACAACACAAGTGCAAATGGTTATTAAATTAAACTTGATTATTCTAACTATACTATGGGAAAAATGAATTTAGTATAATGAACTCATTGGTGTATAAGAAATGTTTGGTGTCTGGACTGAACCATATCTGTGATCTCATACCTTTATGTTTGTACATATTTTCTCTTTTTAAAATGCAATAATGAAATTTTGCTACAATTACATTAATTTTGACAGGAAAAATATTCAATTACAATGAATATTTTCACAGAAACATTTTTATATATGCCAATAGGTAATGAGTCCAACATAAGCACAAATATACATTGATGGTAGATATTTCTTTAGGATATATATGGTTACAGGGTTTTAGTTACAAATAAATATAGATGCTGGCTTGTGTACATTTTTTGATTAAACACCCTCTGTTGAATATTTTTTGTCTTTTGCATGAGGGAATTGCTTAAGTTGGTTTACAATCAGAAGATTTTCTATTCTTTTTTTCATGTTTATTTATTTATTTTGATGGAGAGACAGAGAGAGAAAGAGAAAGAGAGAGAGAGAGAAACCTGAGCAGGATCCACGCTGTCAGCCTGGCATGGGGCTTGACCTGAAATCATGACCTGAGCCAAAATCAAGAGTCAGATGCTTAACTGACAGAGCCATTCAGATGCCTGAAATTTCCTAATTATTAAAAAAAAAAAAAGGTCAGTCCATTTTATTAGATGTACTAGCAAGTTAATGACTTCAAACTTACTGCATAGTCCATTGTCACAGTCATGAGGGCAGCTGGCACAAGGCTTTCCTTCTAGGTAGGGTGTATTTATCTTGTTAAGATGATTACCACTGAAATTTGAAATACAAAGTGTCAAACATTTTTCATTTTTCAGTTTAGTTTATGCTACTAGGGTGGCACCTATCACCACAAATACCTGAGTATTCATTCAGTGTTTTTAATCATGTCAAATAACTGAAAAACTAAAATTCCGAAAATGTACTCAGATACCAATGTAAAGTAAGAAAATAACTCACACATTCACTTACTTCCTTGACCATAATCTCCCAGCCTGAGACACTGAAATGGGATAAATGGGGTCTAAAATTTTTGGAGTATATTTCAACATGGCAACATTCTTTCTCACCCAGAAGATGTGGTCAATTGCTAAAGCAATGTACCCCAAGGTGCTGGCTGGTGATAAAACATATTTCTTAGAGAGACAGCAAGTTCCTGGGAAAGAAAGGGTTGCCATAGGGAAAATGCTTAAAGTTACATGTAATTTTACATTTAAAAAAGAAAATATGATAATTTTTAAATATGAACTAGAGAAGGTAAAGCCCAGGATGCTTTTGGCCTCTAGATGGGGGTGATGATTTTCAAGTGATTTTTGGTGTGTTGTATTTGGGAGTAGGGGTGACAGGAAGATTTTTGAATGTCTAGAGGTTTTGTGTGTAAGATTTTAATACTTAAAAAAGAGGGAATGTTAGAAAAATGGTTTTATTAACACTAATCGCTAAGGTATATTGGTCTTACAGTAACTAGTCTACCCCTCGTTGGTGAATATTATTCGATTGGCCGTTATTATCTGAAAATATAAGACAGTCAAAATCTCGATTGCTCCAAGTAGGCCGACAACACAACGCCATGCATCTAAATCTCAGCCCCTGCACAGAATATACCCGAATGTGTGTAAGCCCCTGGAAAAATGTGAAATAGACACAAATATGTTCTGGAAGTTCTCTCACCCCTGCTTTCCCTCATTATTCACTCCAACTCTCATTTCAGATACCTGGCATCAGATCCTCCTTTCTTAGAGCCAGACAGTGACTTTAGATGCATTCTCCTAGGAACTTTTCAATTCTTTCTACTATACCCTCATAGGTCCTTGCAGGAAAATGACATTGGGAGTCATACTTTTCAAACAGGAGATCCATATACTTGGGTTATCGACAGTCTCAAAATAAAGCCTGAAGATAGCTTGGTTTTAGGGGTCCCCCTGTCCCCGATGGCAAGGAATTTCAAACATTTAAAGAAATTAAGGTTAACAGATATGTTGAGACTAGATCTTCAGTATATCCACAGAATTTATTCTGGGTAAGTTCAAACATAATCTTTGATGAAAGAACACATTTCCTGCTGCAAGTCAGGACCTTAAAGGATGGTTCATTATGGAGATTTTGTGCAAACTTCTGAAAAACAAGGGTTAAGGATGTTCTTCTCTCCTAGACTCTGAAATACATTAAAGATCTCTTGAAAAAACCTTTGAGAGCCAATGAATGAATCATCTGTGATGGTAATAGCATAGGTAGCATTTTAGATAAGCAGGGGTGGGAACATTTTAGCAGAAAGAGCTGAAATCACAATCAGCCATTCCCAGTTTCCCAGTCCATCCCTTGCTTAACCATCAAGCTGCCACCTTCCTAGAGTATGAAGTTAGTGAGAACCAATGACATCAAATCCACAGAAATGCACACTACCCATGCTCATTGATTAGCTGTGAGCCCAAGGGAAAGGTCACTAAGAGAAAAGATGTCACTCTGTAATTGGGGGAAATAGAGTTTCAGATTTTACGCTTGGAACTGAAAACCTGGTGTCTTCTCTGATAAATTGAATGTATCTCAACTTAAAAGGCATTTCCAAAGACACAATTCCTTCTTTTTATTGAAATATTCTTTGTATTGTAGTTTGTTCAATATACGAAAATTTCAAAATATTAAATTGCAGATGGGATTATTGGCATTCAGCTCTAAAGCGTATACTTACGCAGGACAATATTGGCAAACATAGTAATATTTCAGAATATCTTGATTGGGACAATAGGCAACTCCACATCCAACGTGGTAAGAGGAGTACCAGACAACCTACAAATCCAGAAGGGAACATAGGAGAGTACGTGAAAGAGGGAAAATATTGAAAAACAAATAGTACCAATTGTAAAATTGAAAAAAAAAAGTTATCATTATGGTATTGCCTTGTGGAAATATTTAGTTCAATTATTGAAGCAAATCACACATTTTAAAATACTGAATTTTCATATACATTCCTCACTTTATGCATCTATAATGTTGGGAAAATACAGGGTGTGCTTCCCTATGAAGAGTTCTGCCAGCCAAGGAATAAATGACAGCTTTAGATGAAGTCCTGGCCAACACCAATGCTACTAGGTCTACTCACATTCTCACGCAAATTGAACATGGGTTGGTCATAATTTGGAGAAGCTTTCTATATTAGAACATTTGTGGCAGAAGTATTTTAATTTGTTTTCCTTACCTGGGTATAATGTCCAACAACTGCACCAGCAGTCTTTGCTCCCTTACCATAGATAAAATTGTCCTTCTCATCATACCATTTTTGGATTGGGGCTGACCATGACTTAGGGTGAGATGACATATAGAGATTCTCACCACAGTTTGTACCTAAGGAGAACCAGATCACAATGAAGCAATAAAGCATGCCATGGCAAAAGAAATTAACTAAATGAACACAAAGATGTTGCCTTTCAAACAGTGCCTATGCTTGCCAACTCTTAACATGTAATAAAACAGCTTCTGTCCTTACCAACTATTAAGCTGAATAGAAGACAAATCTGTCTACCACATTGAGGCTGACCCGAACATGCAAAATTTTGAATAGGTTGAGAAGATCTTATGCTTTAAAAACCCTTCTCCTTTTGGGGTGTCAGAGATGCATTCTTTTCCATGCAAAATTCTTCACATGTGTAATGTTTCCTGTAGTCTCAGCTTTGTATTGTAAGCATGCAAAGGGTAATGACCAACTTTTATTCTTTTTTTTCTTCTTCATGCCTACTTTCGCCAGATACTTTTCATATATTGGACCCTGAGTAAATGTTTATGGTATGATTTTTGTGTGAACTTGGAAAAAATGTTCTACAGGTAGTCTTTAAGAGTCCCAATTAAGAGGGAACTGACATCAGGGGAGATGGCAGTTTTCAAAGTTTTTGGATCCTCCCTTAATCAATAAATTAGAATGTCATCAGACCAAATCTTCCTCAGAGAAGTAGGTAAGAAGAGCCTTGCAGAGGGTCACATCAGCAAGATGGTGGCGTAGGAAGCCCTGGAGTCTCCTTCCCCCGACAAACACACTGATTCAGCAACAATTCCCAAACAAATTGCCCTTGTGAGAAATCCAAAACTAATTGCAAGGCTTCTATACCCTGGGAGAATATGAACCAGACAAACTGAAGCCTGTAGGGAAATTAGGACACCTTCTTGCTAGAATGCCTACCCGCAGCACAGTTTCTGCCATATGATCAGGAAGAGATCCCGCATCTCCCAGCTTCTCCCAGGGGAAGGAAAGAGTTGGTTCATTTGTCCAGCCCCCCAACCTTTCCTTAAGGAAAACTCCCAGACGGTTGGCTTCTGTCTTGCTAGTCTTGGAGCTCTGATTGTCAGACACAGGCTAGCCATCCGGAGGAAAATGGAGATGGTGGTTGGGACTGGTAGATATCACATCTCCTCCCCATGGCTTAGCACAGAGCAAGCAAATGAAAAATCTTAGCTCTCAGCTTCTTTTTCCTGAGGAAGCAAAGAGTTGATTGGTGCATCCAATGCTATTTCCCCAGGGCTTCCCAAAAATCTGACATCTCTCTTGCCAGTCTTGGAGCTTTGATGGCTTTGGCACAGTGTTGCCCCCCTGGAGGGAGAACACAGATGGTGTTTTGTATTGGTAGATGCCATGGCTCCTCTCTTCAGCTCAGAAAAGAGCAAGCGAACAAATACCACAGCTACCTGGTTCTCCCTGGGGGGTAGGGGTGGGGGAAGAGTTGGTCTGGGTATCCAATGCCACAAACTTTCCAGAGGCTGCCCCAAAGCCTGGCTTCTGACTTGTGTCTCTGAGAATGCGAACTAGACCCAGCATAATCTAGTTCCCTGGGGCAAATGAGAACAGATAGAGGTTTGGGCTGGCAGTAGCCATAGACTCTCTTGGTTCAGCACAGAGTGAGCAGACAAAAAACCCTAGCTCCTAGCCTTTCCATGAGAAAGCAAGAATTGGATGGGATGACTAAATCTCCATCTTTTATGGGGGCTGCCTGAGGAACTGACTAAAGATCTTTTGTGAACACAGTCAACTTGAGCAGACACTTCTCCAAGGAATATGTACAACCAGCCAACAGGTATATAAATGACTTTGGGTAACATAGATATTTTAACAATATTAATTCTTCTCAATGGGCAAAAAACCCCACTCTCTTCAAGAAGTGATGATGAGAAAATTGGACAGCCACATGGAGAAGAGTAACTTTGGACACCTAAATTACACCACACACAAAAATTACCTCAAAATAGATTAAAGACTTAAACATATGACCTGAAATAGTAAAACTCCTAGAAGAAAATATAGGGAAAAAGCTCTTTGACATTGATCTTAGCAATGAATTCCTGAATGTGACACTAAAAATATAAGCAACAAAAGCTAAAATAAATAAGTAGAACTGCACAAAACGAAAAAGCTCTGCAAAATAAAAGAAACAATCAACAAAGTGAAAAAGCAACCTGTGGAAACAGTGAAAACATTTGCCTAGCATATAACTGATAAGGAGTTAACTTTCAAAGTATATAAAGAACTCACATAACCCAATAGCAAAAATTAACCCAATTTAAAACTGGGCAGAAGATTTGTTTTTGTTTTGTTTTGTTTTCTGTATATTTTTTATCATTTTTCATTTAGCATTTTATTTATTTTATTTTATTTTATTTT